TCTGTCTTCCTCTTCCTCTTCTTATGAGGCATCAGCCCTCTCCACTGGACTCCACCTCATGACCTCGGCTGACCTCAGTCGCCTCCTTGAGGTCCTATCTCCAAATACAGTCACAGTGGTGGTTAGGGCGTCACATGAATTCGGGGCAGGGCCAACATTCAGTCACTAACAACCACATTCTAGGTTTTCAGTCACTCTTGCTTAAAAAAAAAACAAAAAAAAAACATGTAAGATGGTGAATATTTTTTAACCAGCAACAAAACTGTTTAATAAACCCTACTCCTCTTAAACCCTCACTGTTCTCCCCCAGCAATGCTTCTTTCCCCGTCCCAGTTCCGGACTCCCAATCCCAAATCCTCTGCGTGGTGACCCTTGTTTCTCCTCGCCCCTTAGATCTAATCTATTGTTCCTGCTAGCAATTCTGCCATGGGTCTGGGTGTCCGGAAAGGGAAAGTTTTTGGCTAGCGATAGCGATGCAGAATGAAATACCCTTGTGAAAGGCTTGTTTCTGTTAGGAGAGGAAGAACTTGGCCAAGCCATTGTCACTCAGTTTCTGCTGTCTCTCTTAGGACTCCTACTGAGGAGCCTTAAAGCATCAGTGAGGGGGGGCCCATCATCGCAGAAAGACCCTGAGAAAGGAAGGGAGGAGGGGGAGCTAAAGGAGCCCGGCTCTTCCATTCCCAGCATACATGAGCCACACGTAAGGATGGTTTTGAGGTGACACAGCCCCTTCACCACCTGATGCAAGTGCCTGAGGAACCCCAAACAACAACCAACTGAGCTGAGTCAACTCCTAAATCATCAGCAAAACAGCAGATTTTAAAAAAATTGTTTATGCTACTGTTTGGTGTGGTTTGTTACACAGGATCCCATCCCCAATCCTGGCAGGCCGGGGTCAATCTCTCCACTTTCTTTGTTCACTCTGGGGTCTGCAGATCTCCAGGTGGGGTGAAGCATTAACAACCGCCAGCCACAAGTAACCCACTCAGCCCAGGCAGAGAGACAGTAGGGCCTACAGGCAGATAACCCAGCTGCTGGAGAGGCCTCCGCTCGGGTGTGGGGTCCTGGTATTCCTGCTTCCCACCAAGCCCATGTTGTCAGCTTTGAGCTGGGCTCCATATTTGACCTTATTCCAGGGGAAAGTAGGTTCTCCTCTTGCTCCTGCCTATCTCTGAGCAGGCTCTGTCATCCCAGGGCCCTAAATTGGCCCACCGGAACATGGTGTAATGGTCAGTCTTTAAGCTGCATTCTTCTGCTTTCCACTGGGAGGTCTTATATGTTCCGCTCATCACTTGCACAGATAGACATGTGGCTCAAAACCTTCCATCTGCTCCAACTCCATGAGGAGGCTCTGCCATCCAGTTGCACATAACACCAAGGAGTAGGAGTTCATGATGAAGGAGATGGTTTTAATGCCAGGAGTAGCTGGATACTTCCTACAAAGCCTTGGTCATATCTCCGTAAGGTAGCTCAGCTAGGGAACACAATACAGGTAGAGCTGACTTCTTGTGCAGTCATAAAAGCCTGCAGGTGATAGAGGAAAAGGTTCTTCCACCTTCCTCTTTACTTGGCTGAATTACTATATGAAAGCATATCCCCAGCACCCCTTGGCTTCTGTAGCAAATAGAAGCCTCTGGACTTGCTCAGTTTGGACTCTGCCAAGTCCAGCTGTCCACACACACATGTCATAGTTCATTTTTCTACAACACAAGGAACTAGGTGAGGACATAGGTGGTGAAACTGAGGCTTGGAGGCGTAAAGTGTTGGGGCGAGGATTTGACCCCAATCCGTGCTTTGCCTCTGTTGCTGTCTGCCTCTCTTCCAAGTGGCCCAGCTAAGCCCTCTAAGACCACACAATATAACCATCTCCAAAGCACTCAGGGAGGATGAGGCCAAGGCCACAGGGCTTGTTAGTGATGGAGCAGGACCCGCCCACTGTTGGGTGCCCCTGTGTTGGGTCTCCCACCCTACTGTAGTGGTTTAAAAATACATCTACAAGTTCTTTACTCTTCCTCCCATCCAGTGTCTCCTTGAGTGTGGGCTGTTCTGTGACTCACTTCAATGACTAGAATGGATCAGAAGGGTGGGAAAAGCAGTAGTTTATGTTCAGGGATTTTTTTTTTTTTTTAACACTCCAGTGTATTCTTGTGCAGGATACTGTGAGCTCCTGCCTGTCAGTGATCATATAATACTCCTTTGTTCCCAGTACCTTGCACACTCCCTGACATATAATAACTGCTCGATATTTTTAGTAATAAAATAAGCAAGTGTGTTTCTTTCATAAACAGACAGAAGAAATCATGCACAAGGGTATCATTGCATTTCCCCATGATGTTTACAGATGTAGATACATTTAGATACAGACTTAGAAATATCACTTAGATTTCACTGGGAGAAATCCTTAATAACTTGCTGGGAGCTTATATAGCAGGATGCTCACCTGAATCTAGTATTTCCACCTGTTTCTGGCTTCTGTGACAAAATACCTGAGGCTGGATGCTTTATAAAGAAAAGAGGCTGGTTTTGCTCATAGACTTGGAGGTTGAGCATCTAAGATCAGGCGGCCCCATCTGTTCAGGCTCTGGTGAGAGTCCCCTGGGCAATGTCACGACATGGCAGAGACATAGACAGGGAAGGCTGTGTGCAGAAGACAGATAACACTGTGAGAGAGGAAGCCAGAGGGTGGGGGAAGACCGTTCTTGCTCTTTTTATACCAACTTGTTCTCATGTGGTAAGACCAGCATGTATCCTCCTAAGGGGGCGCCCCAATGACGTAACCGTCTTCTGCTAGGCCTCACCCCTTTAAGGGCTTCACCACCCTAATATCACCAAGTTGGGGCCAAGCCTCCAGCACCTGAACTCCTGGGGGATGAATATATCCAAGCCACAGCACCACCTAAATGCAAGAAGATTTCAGATGGACTTTCGTTTCTTTTCTTTTCCTTCTTTCTTTTTGCGGTACTAGGGATCAGACTCAGGGCCTTTCACTTGCCAGGCAGGCATCACAGCACTAAACTTCAACCCTGGCCCTCTTTTCTTCCTCCTCCTCCTCTTCTTCTCCTCGAGACAGGGTATCACTATATAGCCTAGGTTGGCCTTGAACTCATGGAAATCCTCCTGCCTCATCCTCCTAAGGCCTGGGGTTACAGGCATGTGCCACCACACCCAGCCTTCCAGATGCTCTCTTACACCAAAATTGTAATCCCCTTTTCAAGAAAATCAGAGGCTTTTTAGACCTTGCAAGGACTATAAACCCATATTTAAAATAATTTTCCTGTGAAAGACTGTTTGAATAAATGACAAAGCATTTAACAGATGCTCTTTTCTGGGAAATTTCTTTTGTCATTTTCCCTGTAACTGCTATATGTTAATTATTCTAAGCAAATATACTTTTAAACTGTGTGACAAAATATATCCAATAAAATTATATTAATCTAAAAACTTCTATAAGGCCTGAAAAATAATTGTATAAGTATGAACAATAGTATATTCACTTGTATTTTGAGTTCATTAAATAAAAAGAATCATAGTAGTGCTGGGCGTGGTGGCTCATGCCTGTAATCCTAGTACTTGAGAGGCTGAAGCAGAAGGATTGCCACAAGTTCAAGGCCAGCCTGTGCTACATAGTGAGTTCAAGACCAGCCTGACTCTGTCTAAAAAAAAAAAAAAAAAATCATTGTAGCATTTCTATATTTGTGAATAGGAAATTGCAGTAAGTGAAGATTTTATGTGTGACAGGTGAGCCAGCTTATTATGAGCGCACAGATGTGATCTTTTTTATGAGCGCCTTATTCCACACGCCTTCTGCCATGGTTCTGCCTTGGACTCAGCTGACCAGGGACTGAATCCTCTGCAACCATGAGCCAAGTCAAAGCTCCCCTCCTCTAAGTGCAGGTATTGAGTGCCTTGTCCAGCAATGGGCATGCCCATACAATAGGTATATATGTAACTGCTCCCTTACTGAAATTGAGCCTCCTCAGGAAGCAAATTTAGGACGAGTCAGTATCAGCGACACTACACGGAAGTGTGCTATATGGTCACCTTTCAGTGTCCCTGCGAGTTTGGCTTGACTGATTCTGGGATTCCCCCTTAAATACCACAATCTGCAAATCTCAAGTCCTTTATGTGAAATGGCGTGGCATTTGCTTTTCTGTATTTTCTTTTTGGTATTTTCATAGAAGGCTTATAATCCTCCCTATACTTTAAATAATCTCTACATTACTTACAGTACTTAATGTGATGAAAATGCTATGCAGACGCTTGCTATATGTTCCATTTAGGGGACAGTGACAAGGAAAAGAGTTTGTACATACTCAGTACAGATGTGATCTTTTTTATGAGTAATTTTTTTTTAATCCACAGTGGTTGAATCCAAGGATGAAGACCCTGGAGATATAGAAGGCTGACATTTTCATAAATAACAAAGATGAATAAAGTTTAAAATATAAAGCAGAACTGGCTGGGTGTGGCTTTGGATTCTAGATCGAACTGTGGTGTCCTTCTTGCTTGGATCATTCGCTCTGGGGGAAATCAGGTGCAGTGTCACAAAGGCACTCAGTGGCCCACAGAGAAGGTGCATGTGGCAAGAACTGAGGCCTCCAGCCCGAAAGAATGGCAACCTTGGAGGTGACTCTCCAGTCCCATCAGCCTCTGGCTGCCATAATCCCCGAGCTAGGGAACACGCAGCTTCCTTCCTGATGCTGGGAAATCATGTTGAGGTGGCAGATGCTTCTAGGCTTGGGAGTAATTGGTTCTGCAACAAGTCACTGAGAAGCCCATTCTCCCACCTTGTTTATTTTTGGCCGCTCCAGGCACAGTCTTCTCCACTCAGAAGGGAGAATGATTTCACATTCTGCACAAGAGTATGGTGCCACCTCTCAGGCAGTTCCTGGAAAATTTACCAAGAAACTCTTCCAAAGAAAAAAGACCTCAGCTGTGGATGTAGCACAGTGGTACCACATCCACCTGGCAAGCGCAAGATCCTGAGTTTGATTCCTGGTACCAAAAAGAAAAAAAGATTTCTTAGGGCTCTTGAAGGCTGTAGCCTAAAGCCAGTCTTAATCATTTTCATCCCACAGGACCCTCCACAGTCCTCAGCCTGCTGCCGGAGAAGCCAATGAGAAGGAGCCGAGCACAGGGCCTGGTCCCTCCGACCTGCCGCCTGGGGCCTGGGAATCTGCTGAATCTTGTGCTGTGCACATGAGTTACCTGTTCGTAGATCAGTGAAATATATTGAAAATCATAATTTATCAGTTATGAAACGATGTGTAAGGGTTCCTGAAAAGAAAGGTTTTGTGGTTACACAAGCCTGGAGAATGTAACTAATGCTTCCCTTTCCTGGACGGTCACCTTAACATCTTGAAGATCTGAAAAGTTCTGCAGTGAAGAGTGCTCTTTAATCTACTTAAACCTGAAATTTCCAAATTTGTTCAACCACAGAGGTTTTTTTCATAAATTCTATATAAATAGCCCTGGTTATAAATAGCCATCTGTGTGTTTCATGCCACAAGGCTGGGGACTGTGCCATGGACAGCAGAGCTCCAGCTCCACACCCTTGAAAGCCAGACGCAGGGTCCCGAGGAAGGACACGGAGGGTAGGGCGGGGCCTGGCGCGGGATGGTGGGGCTGGAGGAAAGACTCATGCTGGGTCCCAGAGGGAGGACCTCCAGAGGGAGAAGACCCCAACCTACTGCACAGATTTCCGAAGCGCAGGTCTGGCACCTATTGATTCTTTCATTCTTATTCACTCACTCATCCATCACAGGCTGCATTAGGGGCCTAACCCGAAATCCGTCACACCGCCTGCCCTTTGGAAACTTGCTCCTAGTGAAGATGTGTGATTCCTGTGGGCCTAGAAAAGCGCTTCAGAGAGCAGCCTGAGACAGAGCATGCGCCTAGGTCAACCAAGTGGACAAGTGCGGGGGAGGGCCTGAATCGACTCAGAGCAGGCAGGGGGGTCTGAGCCACATGAGGTGCGCTGGAGACACCACACCCAGCGCCCACCTGGCCCCTGCGCCCTGCTCTGGGGATCCAGGCTTCTGTGTTTCTGGGGATCACAGCCTGCTCAGCTGGAGCACAGAGGCAGGAGGGGAGAGAAGTGTCTGTCCCAGTAGGATGGCAGTTGTGACACCAGGCCTGGCGATTCGAGGCCCAGGATCCTGGTGCAGGGGCTGCTGTTATCAGTGTTTGCAGCCCTGGCTGAGACAGTGACTCCTAGATCAGAGTCAGAAGTGCCAGCTCCTCCCCAGCTGTGGCTTCCCCCTGATGGCGGAGCAGATATGAGCCCTGGGTACCCCGAGGTGCTGTGGTCGGACTCTGCCTTCATGCACTGGACCCTTGCCCCACTGTGATATTATTAGGTGTGGACCTTGGCAGTGGTGGGATCACGGCAGAGCTCCTGGTGACCGGACTAGAGCTCCTTTCAAAGGCTCCAGCAGACCCCTTGCCCCTTGCACCCTGTGCAGACATGGGGGAGAGGTTATCTAGGAACAAGGAGACCCTCGCGTCCCTAAAAATTTGCGGGTGCCCCGACCTAGTACTTCCTGACTCTCGAGAGTTTACATTTGCAATCTTCTGTGATAGCACAGCGGGACTGAGACAAGGGTTACTCATCCTGATCTCTGGGCCCCACCTCTCCTTCCTTTTGTTCTCTAGCTCTCCCCCTCCCACCCTGTCATCCACCCATCCTTTCCCTTTGTAGTCACTTCTCTCTGTGAATTCCCCTGTGAAATGTATAGCTGCTTCCTGTCTTGCTGACTGGACCCAGACTTACTCAGGAAATGCACCTTCCAAGTTGGGTCTCTGCGCTTGGGTTGTTGTCCTTTTGGGGTACGAACGCAGAGACAGACTCATCAGTCTGGCAAATGGCGTACTGCTGCCCCGTGGCATCAGAATCACGTGATGATCGCCTGTGGTTGCTCAGGTGGGGCGCCGGGAGAAAGCGAAATGTTCACAGTGTGTTTTTGTTTTTGTTTGTACCGGGGATTGAACTTAGGACCTTGTGCTTGTGAGGCCGGCAGTGGAACCACTGAGCTAAATCCGTGGCCTGAGAAAGTGAAATATTGCAACAGGAAGTCACCATTGCGCTTGACTGCTCCTGTAAAACTGATGACTGTGGATGGATGGCACCCGACCTGTGAAAAGAATGTACAGTACGAGGAGGAAGAGGAGGAGGAGGAAGAAGGCGACCACAGAGGTGTGGATGACAGCCACAGCAACGATGAAGGTGAGGAGGAGGAAAAGAAAGAGAAAGACAAGGGAGAAGGGAGGAGAAAAAGAATAGGTGGACAATGTGGATTATAATAAAAACGTTTAAAAATGTATTAGAAGAGTAAAAAGACAAGGTACAACTGGAGGAAGGTATTTACCATACACACACTTCTGATAAAGGACTTGTCCACAATACAGAAAGAGCTATTATAAATCAGTAAGAAGATGGCAGATAATCCACGAGGGAAAAAATGGCTAAAGGGCTGCAGTGAGCACTTGAGTGTCCTGGTGGACAATAAACAAATGTGAAGGTGCTCAACCCCATTAGTCATCAAGGAGACACTAATTAAAACTACCGTGCATCAAAGCCGCAATGAACTAGGAACTCACACTCACCTGGGTGGCTGAAATGGAAAAAAATACGGGCAAAAACAAGGTTGGCAAAAATACGGAGAACCTGAGACCCTTATGTATTGCTGCTGGAACAGTAAAATGGTGCAGAAACTGTGGGAAATAATCCGGCAATTTCTCATCAGTTTAACAGCATTACCATTTGACTAGCAACTTGACACCTAGGTACACTTTCAAGAGGAAAAAAACATCATACACCCACACCAAAACATGTGCATGAATGTTCACAGCAACACTGTTCATAATACCTTTGAAATGAAAACAACCCAAATGCCCTTCAACTGATGAATAAACAGAACGTGTATCCATCTATTCAGTCATTCCATTTATATAAAATGTCCAGGAAAGCAAATCTACAGAGATGGAAAGTAGATTCATAGTTGCCAGACACTGGAGGCGACAGCTAAAGGCGATGGCATTTCTAGTGAGCGGCTCTAGGGAAGGTGTTCTAAAATTCATCATGGTGAGTGTTGCACCATAATGTTGAAATTCTAAAATCAATTACATCGTACAACTTGGATGGATAAACTGTATCTCAATAAAGCTGTTAAAAAACAAGAAGAGGAGGAGGGAGGGAGAGAAGAAGGAAGGACGGCAAGCGAGGAGGAGGAAGGCAGACAGGCAGGAAGGTAGGCGGGCTGGCTCAGGGCAGTGCCACTACCCAGCCAGAAGAAACGCTAAAATGGAAAGGCTAATCATAAGCAGTGCTGAGGATGTGGGGAAACACTGCTGATGGGAGCACAACTTGTCACAATGACTTTAGGAACCCACCCAACAGAAATCCATACGCTCGTTCACCTAAGGACGTCACAGAAGCGAGTTGAGATAACTGAACATTGGAAATGGTCCCGATAGTCATCAGAATAGACAAACAAATGCTTGGGTCATCACAAACAGAAACTTCAAGGCAATGAGAATGGACAGTCAGCTCCATACAGCAGAGATGAATGTTATAAAAGGAGAACTGAGAGGAAAAAAAACCCAGGCTGTACGCATGAGTACAGACTGTGAGTCCATTCACGCAGAGTTCAACAGACAGAACTACTATGTGGTGTTTGAGTCAGGTGATAGCTACTTTTGGGGTGGAGTTTGACCTTGGAGGGCATGGGAAAGCTCTGCAGTGCAGGCGCTCTTTTTTCCTGACCTGGATGCTCGTTCATAGGCTTGTGCCTGGCTGTGCATTTACAATTCATATACAGTTACCCATGGTATCCAGGAGGATTGGTTCCAAGACCCCTGCAGAGGCCAAACTCTGCAGAGGCTGCGGTCTCTTATATACTTGCATGGAACTTACGCACCTTTCCCTTATACATGAAATCATCTTTAGATGACTTACAGTGCTGAATGCAAGGTAAACACTGTGTACACAGTTGTCAGGCTGTGTTGTTTAAGGAAAAACAATGAGAAAGAAGCTCTGTACATGTTCAATATGGATGCACCAGTTTAAAAAATATTTTCAATTAATGTTTAATTGAATTTGTGGCTACTGAGACTGGCTATACTTTTCTGCATTTATATTATAATTCAATATAAAATTTTACCAAATTTGAGAAAAACAGGGATAGGAGGGGGGAACAGTTAATGCATACATACCAAACGAGGAAGATTATGGACCAGAGCAGCTCATTTTCGTTCCTAGGACTAACCTCGAGACCTACCAGCACCACAACACCTCACCTTTCTGTGAGGCAATCCAGGCCTCGTTTGGCCCCTGTCTGGATCTCAGTGACTGGGGAGGACAAAGTTGGGTCATTCAAAGCTTTACGTGTACTAGGTCTATCTCCTGCCCTGTGCCATTGGACCTCCTTGTTGTCCTAGGATTTGACCCCTCTGGCTTCTGTGCTAGTCCTCCTGTCCTCAGTACAGCAGCGTCCAGCTTCCCCTGAGTGGTCAGGATGGGCCATCCCAGAGCTGCCCCACTTTACAAGCCAGCTCAAGACCATTAGCATCTCAAAAAAGCCTGCTATCACTTTGGGTAAGTGGGCTGGTGGGGTCATTTTCCCTGGGGGGCTTAGACCTTCAAACCAGCACAGTTCCATGCTGCAGGGCAGAACCCAAAACCTTGGCCAGGGGGTCATCAGTTGTGGAGAGCGCCCCTCCCATACACACCTGGCAATCTCTGGACCCGCATATTCACCATGGGAGAAGCAACAACATGCACCTGTTGTGGCTTCAGAGTTGGCGCTGGCTCTGCTGATGTGTAGAAGAAACTGTTGCCTTCTCTTCCCAGCTAGAGCCTTCTCGATGTTTCTGGAGAAGATGTATGTAAGTTTGCTAGGGCTGCTGTAACAAAGTATCTTAGATGAGGTGGCTTCAACGACACATTCATTTTCTCTAGTTCTAGATTCTGGAAGTCAGCAGAATTGAAAGGATCAGTGGGGTTGGTTTCGATGAGGCCTCTCTCTGTCCCTGGCTTCACAGCTGCTATCTCCTCCACGTCCTCTGGCGTGTCCTTGATTGCTCCATTTCTCTCTCTAGCTCCCTCTCTCTCTCTCTCTCTCTCTCTCTCTCTCTCTCTCTCTCTCCTCTAATCTCTTCTCCTAAGGACACCAGGCATGTTGGAGCAGAGCCCACACTCATGTCCTAGTTCTAATTCAGTGGCTTCTTTAAAGCCCTTATCTCCGAACACAGTCACATTCTGAGGTCCTGGGATCATGGCTTCCACACACAAACCGGGACAAGGGCACACAGTGAAGCCCGCAACAAGCCCTTTAACCCAAATACTATGCCACCCAGGCCATCAGGGGGCACAGCTGGGAATGCAGAGGAGAAAAGGGAAGGAAGGAAGAGGGCACCATGGGCAGCAGGAAATCTAGTCTTGTGGAGAATCCTAGTGCACTTCAAGCAGGAGTTGTCAGTGAAGCCACAGGAAGATGCTTTGCAAGCAGCCGCAGATGTGGCCAGCGGAGAACTTACCTTCCTGTGCAGGACTCGGTGTCCTTTGCGGGCCCGGATCTCGTCTCCCACTCATGGCGGAAGCAAGGACAACATGTGCCGTATTTCCCTTTGGCTTCTCTGCAAGTTGTCTCCTCTGTAAAATGAGGTAGACGTGCGGCAGATCTGCTGGGCTATGAGAGGACCTGGGTGGGCTGGTCCAGGGGGGAACCCTGCTGGGCTCTGAGGACCACTGAAGGGGCGAGCGCTAGGACACCCTGCCCAGGGACCCAAGCAGAGGGAGACTCTGAGGGCAGGGTGACAGTGACCAGAACCGTGGGGCCGTCCCCACTGCATACCCAGCCAAAAGCTGCCAGGTCCAGCTTCTCAGCTCAGGCACCCAAGGTCCCCCAGACCAGAGGGAGGGAGGCTCGCTGGGCTGCGGGCCCAGGAGGAGGAGGGGGAAGGAGGGAGAGCTCCTGCTGGGTTGGGAGTGGGGGCTGCTTATTCTTCAAAAGGTTCCAGAGATTTGCTCAGAATTCACACAGGGAAAGGGAAGTGGGAAGGGAAATGGGTGAGAGAAGAGTGACAGGAGACAGAGAACACGGGCAAAGTGAAGAGAGCACTCAGCTCTTTCTGCAGCGGGCCACAGTGACTTATCAGCCGGGTTCCTTCTGGCTTCCGAGCAAGCAGAGGGAGAGAGACCTTATTTCGTATCACCGGGCCTCGGGGTTTGGCCCCATGGGGCAGGCAAGCCCACTGAGACTGTCCACGCTGCGCAGTGAGAGGCAGTCACACTGTCCACCAGACTCGAGTGGCTTTGTGTGCGTGTGTGTGTGAGTGTGTGTTTTGCACAACGCCTGCGTCACCCTCTGTGTTTGCGTGTTGTATGAGTGTATACATGTGCATCTGGGGGCAGTCATTTCCCATGGGGCAGCACAGGCAAAGTCTGTAGAGAAAGGAGCTCGGGCCAGTGCAAAGTCTGGGAGAGGGAGGGACCTGCACCAGAGGCGGCCACACCCTGCCCTTGGGCTCCACTGTGGCTTCCTCGCCCCCAGGTTCCTCTTTTCATTTAAAGCCAGCTTGAATTGGTTACTTGCGAAAGACCTAAATCACGCACAGACATTTTAGTAGCATCTTTCTGGCTGCAGAAAATCTGACCTAACATGAAGGACCTGGAAACAGACTCACAGCAAGCTCTGGGATCCAGCGTATAACACCTCCAGACTCAGCGACGGTGCCCCTGAGGCGGGATTTCCACCCCGAAAGCTGCCTGCCGGCCAGGTGTTAACCACAGTGGGATCTCCTACCTCATGTTGGGGAGTTCTCGGTGCCCCTTGAGGGGACTCACCGCACAGATTTCACAACTCAGAATGGCTCTGTCTTGTCCCCCGAGGCCATGGCAATCCTGCCCTCACCGTGCTGCCACCGCACCAACGCCAGCTCTGGATCCACTCCCCTGTGCTCATCGCTCCTTGGCTGGGAACTGAAGAGTCTGCACTGAGCAGCGGGCAGTCCCTGCCTTGCTCTGACTCTAGTGCTCACACCCGGCCCATACAGCCTGTCGCCCACTCTCCCTCTGCTGCTCTCTCCTTGCTCCTCAGTAGAACCCCGCGCATCCCCCACAGCCGACTGCCCTGTGGGGAACCCCCTCTCTGGGGACCTGTAGGCGGCCTTTCCTCCTTGCCATCTGCTCAGAGCAGACCAGAGGAGGGCAGGCCAGCACTACCTCCCTCTTGGCACCTTCCCCGGGCTGAGCACCCTCCTGGCACAAAGCCGGGGTTCTGCAAATGCTGGTTGAACCGAAACCCACTGTGGTCTCGGGTTCCTGAGTTGTCTTTCTCTGTGTTCCCACGCTGGGCTCATGGTCACAAGGTGGGGCCTGGCCTGTGTCCAGGCTCCCCGCTTGGGGACAAGACCGAGTCTTCCCCGGGGTTCTGTAAGGAAGGTGTCCCTTCTGTCCCTCCTGCCAAGGCTTTGCCGGCTGCTCTGGGCTCCTGGGTACACTGAGCCCTGAGCCCTGTGCTGCTTTGGAATGGAGCCGCCAGCGTCCCTGCCTTCCAGGAGAGAGAACCAGCATGCCCTCCTGCTTCCCCTTCTTGTGTCTCCTCTGGGAAGCTTTCAGGACACGTGTGCACTTAGCAGGATGCAGGCCTAAACCCAGCCACCATCCTAGGATCCAGAGGAGGGGCAGCAGTGCCGGGGTCCAGAGAAGGGGTGGGCTAGAGGGCAGGGGCGGGGTGACTATCAGAGGTTCCCAGTGACTGTGGTTCAAGCTCCATCTCAGCACTTCCTGCATCCTCTGGGCCTTTCTCAAAATCACAGGACTTCTGAGGCCGGGCCACCCGCAAAGAGCAGCAAGGGACGAGGGCTTGGTGGCTGAATCGTCTCCTTGTCTCAGGAAAGCAGCAGATTTCTCCAGCCCACCATGGCTGGGGTCAGAGGGGGGCTGGGAAAGTGGGGAACAAGGCTGTCGGACCTGCCTTTGTGGCCTCCCGTGATCACTAGTGGAAGGGACCTGGGTGCCGGGAAACATGGCATGGACCTCGCGTGGCTGCTCCGGGAGCTCCTGTGAAGACTCTGACCCAAAGCCAGGAGCTGCTTCCCCCGCCGAGAGGGCCGCCGCTCCGGGTGTGGGGTCCATGTGGGCCAGCCTGTGCCATGAAGTGTGGGGCGGATCTCCAGGGCCCTTTGATGGGCACCCGTCCTGCAGATCAGCCCCTCGCCCTATAGCAACTTCCTGGAAGTGAGTGAGCAAGGAAGAAACACCTGGCACCTGTGGGGACACCTGCTCCCTGGGCGGCCCTCGGAGGCAGCAAGAGGGTCAGCTGGGGGTGGGAGTGTGCAGTGAGTTCAGAAGAGGAACTAGGGGCCGGCGGACTTCCGGGAAGCCATGCTACGGGGCCCGGCCTAGGGGATGGGGTACCAGCACAGTGCCAGGGACCCTCCCTATTCAAAATGCCCGCACACTGTCAGGTGGTAAATGGGATGCCGCCTGCTGCATCAGACGTTCCCTGCATACTGATCATACAGGGACACCCCTCCACCAGTCTTGTCCTACACCAGCCCGGCGGAGCACCAAGCCTCTCGCTGCCGCAGCCCTGGTATGCCTGAAGGCCCAGAGGAGCCCAGGGGGCTGAGGGCTGGCACAGAGAAGCGCCCCTGCCCCTGCCCCAGCCTCCCAGCCCCCTCTGCTGACACTGTGGAGAGAGCCCTCCTCTTGCTGGGTTGTTATGCTGGGAAATGAAACATTGCTTAACCCCCAGGAGAAACCACAAGAGGAGAAAAACATGCAATGCTGCCGCAGCTGGGCCCAGAGCTCAGCCTGCACTCTGCAGGGCGGGTGGTGCTCTTCGCGTTAAAGATGAGAGAAGAGCCCTTGCAGGGCAGTGGCTGGATGTCTCGGAGACCCTCAGGGCCCACCTCAGCCTAGGAAGTGCGGTTGTTTGTTTGGGGACCATGTAGGCGGGGCTCTGGGTGATGGGTGGTGACTGACACTTGTGCTGTGGGGCCCTCCCTGCTGGGAGCTACCATTCTAACCAGGGAGCAGCCTGGGCACGGCTGGGCCCTGACATAAACAGCAGACCGGCTGAGGCAGGTGGCTCCCGGAAACCAGAGCTCTGGAAAGGAGCTGCTTTCTTCCCAGCACAAGCACAGGTTGTGAGTTTGCCATTTGGGGTGGACCTGCTGTCCTTTATCCCAGGGACTCACAGGTCTTTGCTGTGGGCATCTAGGAGCAGGCTACTGGCCAGAGGCCCAGCTCTGATGCCCTCCTTCCTCAAGGTGTGTTTCAGGCCCCCTGCCCACTATCCCTGCCGCAGGCTCCTGGGCACCGGTTCTTCTCGGAGCCTCTGGCCAGGGAACTGCAGGCCCCAGCCTCAGTGGTAGGGGAGTGAATCCAGCCTTTGTGGGGGGAGGTAGGAGCCCCACAGCCACTGGGAAGACTCCAGTCCCAATGACTCCCACTGTCCCTAACTGGCCTCTTGGGTGCAGTTGACACGCTGTCTCCTCTCCCTCAGCTGCCACCTGCCTGCCTGTCCCTCTGCTAGGCCCTGCCAAGACCCCTGGGTTCTGCACCACCTGCCAAGCAGAAGCCAACCACACACACATGCACACAGGCACACACTCAAGGATCCCTCCCTCACCAGGGCTCTGTCTGCACCTCTCCTTCACGCGCTCCCAGCCTGCTTGTGCTACTCACTGTGTTCCTGTGTCCACAAAGCTACCCAAGGCCACACGAATGATGCCCCTGTGGCTGGTGACGCTGTGATTCTTGGCCCAAGAAGGGCCGGTGCACCTGTGACCCAGATGCAGACCCCAGTTAGGCCTAGGAGGCAGTGCCCATGCAGGAGGGGAATGCTCTCAGTGCCCACTGCATCACAGGCTCGGTCCTGGAGGGGCCAAGCTCACTCCTGCACACATTTCCAAGGGCAAATGGGACACAGACAGTGAAAGCCCAAGGGCCCTGTTGCCTGTGCCTCCTGGTGCTTCCCTCCTCAGGGTACAAGAGGCCCAGGAAAAGCGCACCACCCACGAGTGGGCACCTCAGTGCCTTTGCTTCTGGGTCTGTTACGGAGGAATGGCACTATTTTCTACATCACCAGCCTGGGAGAAACTCCTGAAAGACGGAAGAGGGGCCCAGACAGGAGTTGCTCCGGCTTTGCCCAAACACGCCCAGGAAACACGAAGCCCTGGGAACGTGGGGGTGAGACTCCAGGACTGGCCTCCTGCCTCAGTCCAGCATAAACAAAGCTGAACACAGTGAAAACACAAGGGCAGATGATTCGGAAATAATATCACAACAGGAAAGACAGCTGAGCAGGGGTGAGTCCAGCTTCCCAAAACAAAGGGCAGACAACTATAGGAGGGGTGGGCACGGGGAAAGAGCCTAGAGGTATTAAGGAGGGTCGGCTTCTGTGACAAGGCCACTTGGGCATGCCAATCGGTGCTTATCTGAAATAGACTTTTTCTATTTTTTTCCCCCCTGGTTTTTTTTTTTTTTTTTTTTTTTTTTTTTTTTA